CTTGTACAATATGATTGATTACATGTTTAATTGTTCCACTTCTTTGTAAAGTGGCAAAAAATGAAAGAAGAAAAGTATCAATTATAACATGAATATAAGAAAGCTTTTCAAAAGAAGGCATATAAGTTACATCCAATTGCCAAATATATTTGGGAGAAAAGCCTCTTGATACATTTGAAACAGGCTGTTAATTAAAAAAAATCATTATTTTTTATACTATGTTCTTAATACTGTAGGAGTTTATTTATTCAAAAATAGTCACAAAATGTTTTCTTCTCTACAGTTAAGGTGGTTGTATTGACAGAATATAGTTAATAAAAGGCTCAATAAAAGCTTAATAAAATGTTAAATGGCAGTATTTTGGTGAAACTGGTAATGAGAAATAATAACTTGTTTTATGGTAGGATTAAAAGTGCTGGGATTGGTGTCAGGAAAACCTGATTTCAAATCCAGCCTCAGATACTTCCTAGCTGTGTGACCCTGGGAAAGTCACTTAACCCTGTTCGCCTTAGTTTCCTCATCTGTCAAATGAGCTGAAGAAGGAAATAGCAAACCACTCCAGTACCTTTGCCAAGCAGACTCCAAATGGGGTCATGAAGCTATTACACATTCAGGTGGATATGACTGAAATAACATTATTTGCTGCAAGTGAACCATCCAGTCCTCCAAGACCTGCTCTTCTTGTGGGAAGTTCTTGGGTCCAATAGACATTAATTAATGGGGTTATCTACTCCTGTAGCCTCATTTTTCAGATGAAGGAATTGAGAACCCACAAGGTTAAATGACTTGCCTCATGCCACACAGGTGGCAAAGGCAAGGTTTGAACCAGGTCCTCTGGCTCCAGATTCAGCCTTCTTTCCCCCCTGAACCATGCTACCATGTCAGTGAGGCAAAGCCCCTGATACCGATTGTGATGGCCATGCATTGTTCACCTTGGGCAACTTGCTGAATCATGTCACTATACTGTCTGTTTGGAGAAGAGAAACCCGTGTGAACATGAGAGCTATCTCCACGTTTTTGAAGATCCATCACAGGGGAGAAGAACAAAATTTCTGTGTAGCTCTATGGGGCAAGCCCAGTACCATATCTGAAAGTTATTTGGGGGTGATTTTGAGTCAATGTAAGAAAGAACATTCTAGCAATTTTACATGTCCCAAACTGGATTAGGCTGTTTTCTAAGACAGGAACTTACCCACCACTGGAAGTTTTCAAACAAAGGTTGAATGACCTTTTGTCAGTGAGGCTACAAGGGTATTCCATACTGGGTGGAATGTTGAAATTCAAAGTACAACACATTCAGTGTATAATACAATTCCAGAATTCCTTTTCTTTTACTTCCTTAGAGCTATTGTTTGATTGGTCAGTCTAATGTATATGTACCATAAACTCAGCCTTCTTTCTTCAGAAAATTTGGATGTCAGTAAATGGGCAATTCCATTTGAAGAATATTGGTTGAAAAAAGCTCTTTTGCACAAATGAAAGTTATCTGAGTTCTGTGGTTCTCCAAGGTCCCTTACGCAGGCTTGTTTCTATCTCAAGATTTGCTTAAACTGGCTGCTTCAGCTGCCCTTGGCTTTGATTTTCTGACCTCTTTTGTCTGACACCTGTCATTTTTGCTTACTAATCAGAAATCAGGAGTTCCCCCCAAATGTTCAACTCTGCTGCTGAAAATTGTGCTGAAGCCATAAATGTTATCTATTGGTGATGTCAGAGCCCTGCCCTGGTTATAGCTCATAAAAACCTCTAGTACAATAAAAAAAAAATGAACATGAAAAATTCTAGTATGCCATCCATACCTCCCAAGGCTCAAAACTAGGTATTTTTAATGATTAACTTAAGTCATTAATTTGCCAGGGCTTCCACAAAGCGTAAACCAAGAGGAAGTACTTAACAAATGCTTATTGATTGGGAACTATCAACTTGTCACCCTAGTTACCATTTTCATTTGTGGGTCCAAAGATTTGAAAATGAGATTCATAAAGTGAAGTTTCAATACAATTCAAAAAGCGTGTATTGAAGTCTTACTATATGGCAGGCATTGGGCTGAGTGATGGAAATGTGGGGAGCACAGGGGAGGGCTGTGGTAAAAGGTGGCGGGGGGTTAGATTTTTATCTGTGATTTTACTGGTATGGGAACCTTCCAGCGAGTGAACTCCCTCCACCAGTGCAGAAAGACTTTAAACTGCTCAGTGACTTTAGTTTCAGAGAATTCCTTAGGAGTGGTTCAACAGCTTCCCCAGAATGACTTTCTATATTTTTTTGGTGGAGGGGGCTAGGCAATGGGGTTAAGTGACTTGTCCAGAGTCAGGCAGCTAGTGTTATATGTCTGAGGCCGGACTTGAACTCAGGTCCTTCTGGATCCAGGGCTGGTGCTCTAACCAATACGCCACCTAGCTGCCCCAGTTTATTATATTTTGAGTCAATCAATAAACACTTATTAAGTGGCTACTATGAGCCAGTGAGGCAGCTAGGTGGCACAGTGCATAGCGTGCCAAGCCTGGAGACAGTAAGACTCATCTTTCTGGGTTCAAAGCTGGCCTCATAAACTTCCTAACTATGTGACCCTGGGTAAGTCACTTTACTCTATTTGCCTCAGTGTCCTCATCTGTAAAATGAGCTGGAGAACAAAATGGCACATCACTCCAGTATCTTTGGAAACAAAAACCCAAATGGGGCCACAAACCCTCAGACACAACTGAAATCACTGAGCAACACTATGGCCCAGGAAGTTTGATAAGCGCTGGAAGAGTCAGGAAGACTTGAATAAAAATTGGATCTCACACACATATAGCTATATGGCCCTAGGAAAATCACTGAACAGCCATGTGCCTCAGTTTTTTCATCTATAAAATGGGAATATTAATAGCACCTACCTCCCAAGATTGTAAAGCTCAAATGAGGTAAAAGCTATAAAGCGCTTTGCAAACCTTAAAGCACCATATAAATCCTAGCTATGATTATTATTAGCTCAAGCTTCAGCCATTGGCATTTCATAATCTCTTCCTTAAATTTGGGAGGTAGCCTTTATTGGGAGCTAATGCATTGACAAGTTTAGCCTCCATGTCCTCCAGCCTCCCTTTCATAGCTTCTCATCTCTTCCATGATGCCTTTCTCCTTTGAAATCACATTGAAATCCCCTTTATTAACTTTTTCTGTACAAGTTCTGAAAGTTTTATATGAAAAATAGAAACCAGTGACACTAGATTGAGAGATGATAAATTAAGGCTAATGTTCAGGGGGCATATGAAGGACTTTGGCAAAGACAATGCTTTGGGACTCCAAAGGAGGGCAGGCGGACAGGCAGGCGGTGAAGTGGATAGAGTGCAGGGCCTGGAGTCCAGAGGTCCTCAGTTCAGATGTGCCCTCAGACACTTACTAGCTTTGTTACTTTGGGCACCTCACTTAAACATGTTTGCCTAGTTCTTCATCTGTACAATTAGCTGAAGAAGGAAATGGGAAACCACTACGACAGTAGAAAACTCTGCCAAGAAAACCCAAAATGTGGTCTCAGAGAACCAGACCCAGCTGAAATGACAGAAACAACCAAAAAGGTCATTGTCTGGGGTGCAATGGCAGGAAGGCAGGAAGGAGGTTGCTAGCTGTATTCTGCCATCACATAATATTCTTTAAAGTTACTAAATTTTTACTATAATTCAAAGTGTCCCTGACACTATCTGTAAATTTTCTTTTTTCATTTCAACAAATATTTATTGTTTCTCTTCCATGCAAGGTACTATGCTTGATGCTGGTGATTTAAGGGAAAAATGAAAACAAACTGTTTTACACTAAATTCTACTATGGGAACACAACATTTATCTGCAAAATTCTTGATAGGAAGCAGTAGGAATTTACTCTCCTCACCCGAAATATCAGGCAGGCTTGGAGAATTCCTTTGAAGGAAGATGTTGAACATTGTTAAGCTAAAAGAGCTTAAAAACAGCATTAACTCTAAGCATGTTGGCTGGACAGTCTCACAAAAGAGTGCTAACTCTTTCTCTGAAGGAGAAACTCCAACTCCAGCCCCAGATGAAGACTCCAGCAACTTTAGAAACAGAATAGAATATCAGTAGGGCATACACACTTGTCTGGGAAATGAACCATTAAAGCTGTTCCAGCTGAGCCATAACCCTGGGACCTCCTGAGTCCTAAAGGTGATATTCCCATTCTCATGGGCAGCATGGGAATCCATGGGAAATTGTATTTCTTCATGTCTTGGTTAATTTCCCTTGTCAATGAGCATTTATGGCAAGGAAACAACATCTATTTCATTGGAATGGATTTCTACAGTGAAGAGGAAAAGTGTTATATGTAGATAGTCAAGCCACTTCAGCCTCAGGAAGACCTGGCTTTAATCCTGCCTCTGACTCCAACTGGCTGGGTGAGCCTGGGCTTAACTCTCGTGTCCCAGGCAACTCTCAGACTAAAAACCCCAGGACAATGGCAGATGTGCTATTGGTAGAGGGAATTTCCTCTCCAGGAAGCTCGCTACATAAATCAGCACCGGATTCTATATGATTTATTTTGGTATTTGTCCTAAATGAAAACTTTTCTATTTGATTTATGGTTCCTGGCTTTTGATAGGGAATTCCATATCTGCATAAGTAGGATCACCCCCAAACATCACCTGGAAAGAGAAGGGAGTTATTTGGGGTCCGTGATACCCAGATCTAGAGGACCAACTTTGCCTAATGATAAAAATTAACCTAGTACACAAAGAAAGAAACTCCATCTTTACATTTTAAATATCCTGTGTGGACCAGGTTAAGCTGATCAGTCCCTCCTCACCAAAGTCTCAAATGCATTTCAATAATCAGTTAAATAGATCCAGGCCTCAATCAGTTAAACAGATCCTTGCCTAGCTGCCTGCAGCCCATATTTGGGGGGAAATGGGAGGGCTGCACCCTGCCAATAATATGGCTTTGCTTCTTCTCCACCCCCACCTCCCACCCCCCACTAAGTCATTGCATGTTAATGTTTGCACTTTTGACTTGCAGCCAAGACTACAAAAAGTTTGGCTTCTCTACCTGGGTCCTGGTCAGGCTGTTGGTTCTCTCTTGTTTTTCAGAAAACCAGGAACTGAGAATCATGGCTGCAAAGCCCATACTGTATTACTTTGATGGCAGAGGCAGAATGGAATCTGTGCGCTGGCTCCTGGCAGCTGCTGGGGTGGAGGTAGATGCTTCATTTCTTATCTTTGTGCTTTTTCTTCTGACTCAGTGAATATTTACTAGAGGAGAAGTCACGTGGAACTTACTTAATGACCCCCCTCGAAAAGAGGGGTCTAATCATGGTGATCACCATCTTTTTTTTTTTTAACAGTGAACTAAGTCACAGAAGCAATTTGAAGGGCAAATTTAACTAAATAATTAAGTGTTGATTGAGTTCTCTTTCTGAAAGTAGAATCAAGACCTAGTGAAAGTTCACTGGACATTCAGGAGACCAGGGTCCAAGTCGTGGCACCACTACCTCCTAGCTGGATGTCCTCAGGCAAGCTAGCTTGCATCTCTGGGTCTCAGCTTCATCACTTGTAGAACAGGGGGCTGGCATTACGTGATTTCTGAGATCCCCTTCTAGGTTTAATGTTCTGTGATCTTTGCCCACAACTACTCCTCCATAACACAAAGAATGATACTGGTTCCAATTTATTTCATTAACTGTCTGTCCATTATTGCCTAGTGTTGCAATTTATTTAAAAGCCCATCATTTCGGAAAATTGGAAAAATATGAAGGAACAAGAGGTTGGGTTAGTTTCTTTTTTTTTTATCAAAGAAAATGATATTTTTTTTCTAGAGATAGTTTTTAAAATTTTTTATAAATTTATTTATTTTTAGTTTTCAACATTCACTTCCACAAGTTTTTGAGTTCCAAATTTTCACCCCATCTCACCCCTCTCCCCACCCCAAGATGGCATGCATTCTGAATATCTCATCCCCTAGTCTGTCCTCTCTTCTGTCTCTCTCCCCTTCTGCTATCCCCTTCCCCTTCTATTTTCCTGTAGGGCAGAATAGACTTCTGTACCTCATTTCCTATATTTCTTATTTCCCAGTAGCATGTGAAAACATTTTTTTTAAACATACGTTTTAAAAACTTTAGGTTTCAAATTTTCTCTCTTCCTCACTCCCCACCCACCTCATTGAAAAGGCAAGCAACTCAATATAGGTTGTACATGTGCAGTTATGCAAAACACGTCCATAGTAGACATGTTGTGAAAAACTAACTCTTTTCTCTTAATCCTATCCTGTCCTCCCATTTATTCTATTCTTTCTTTTGACCCTGTCCCTCCTCAGAAGTATTTACTTCTGATTACCCCTTTCCCAATCTGCCCTCCTCTCTATCATCCCCCTGCTCTCTTGTCCCCTTCTCCCCCTTTCCTGTAGGGTAAGACAGATTTCCATACCCAATTGAATGTGTATGTTATTCCCTCCTTAAGCCAAATCCTATGAGAATAAGATTCACTCATTCCCTCTCACCTTCCCCATTTCCCCTCCACTGTAAGAGACTTTCTCTGTTTTTTTTGTGAGATAATTTACCCCATTCTACCTCTCCCTTTCTTCTTCTCTGAGTATAATCCTCTCTCATCCCTTAATTTTATTCTCCAGATATGACCCCTTAATCTTCAACTCACCCTGTGCCCTCTATCTATCTATCTATCTATCTATCTACATATACATACATATAATTTTTTTCCTCCAACTACCCTAATACTGACAAAGGTCTCATGAGTTATAAATATCATCTTTCCATGCAGGAATGTAAACAGTTCAATCTTAATAAGTCTCTTATGATTTCTCTTTCCTGTTTACCTCTTCATGTTCCACTTGAGTCCTGTATTTGAAAGTCAAATTTTCTATTCAGCTCTGGTCTTTTCATCAAGAATGCTTGAAAGTCCTCTATTTCACTGAATGACCATTTTTTCCCCTGAAGGATTATACTCAGTTTTGCTGGGTAGGTGATTCTTGGTTGTAATCCTATCTCCTTTGCCCTCCGGAATATTATATTCCATGCCCTGTGGTCCTTTAATGTAGAAGCTGCTAAATCTTGTGTTATCCTGATTGTGTTTCCACAGTACTTGAATTGTTTCCTTCTGGCAGCTTGTAATATTTTCTCCTTGACCTGGGAACTCTGGAATTTGGCTACAATATTCCTAGGAGTTTTCCCTTGGGGATCTCTTTCAGGAGGAGATTGGCGGATTCTTTCAATTTCTATTTTGCCCTCTGGTTCTAATAATCAGGGCAGTTTTCCTTGATAATGATGAGGCTCTTTTTTTGATCATGGCTTTCAGATAGTCCAATAATTTTTAAATTCTCTCTCCTGGATCTATTTTCCAGGTCAGTTGTTTTTCCAATGAGATATTTCACATTGTTTTCTAATTTTTCATTCTTTTGGATTTGTTTTACAGTGTCTTGATTTCTCATAAAGTCACTAGCTTCCAATTGCTCTATTCTAATTTTTAAGGAAGTATTTTCTTCAGTAAGCTTTTGGACTTCCTTTTCCATTTGGCCAATTTTTCTTTTTAGGGCATTTTCTCCTCATTGGCTTTTTGGACCTCTTTTGCCATTTGGGTTAGGCTATTTTTTAAGGTGTTATTTTCTTCAGTATTTTTTGGGTCTCCTTTAGCAAGCTGTTGACTTTTTTCATGATTTTCTTGCATCACTCTCATTTCTCTTCCCAGTTTTTCCTCTACTTCCCTTACTTGCTTCTCAAAATCCCTTTTGAGCTCTTCCAAGGCCTGGGACTGATTCATATTTTTCTTGGAGGCTTTGGATGTAGGAGCTTTGACTTTGTTGTCTTCTTCTGGTTGTATATTTTGATCTTCTTTTTCACCAAAGTAAGATAATATAGTCTGACTCTTTTTGGCTGCTTGCTCATGATCCCAGCCAATTACTTGAGTTTTAAACTCTTTGTTAAGGTAAGAGTCTGCTTCCAATGTGGAAATGTACTGTCCCAAGCTTCAGGGGTTTGTACAGCTGTTTTCAGAGATACTTGTAGGGACCTGTAAATTTTCAGTTCTTCCAAGGTGGTATGATAAGGGGCAAGGTGTTTACTCCTTTCCTGGCCTGTGACCACAAGTACTCCTTTCTGTCCTGTAACTGTGAGGAGGGGTTGCTCTTCACAACCACTACAAGTTCCACCGCCAGCGCTCCTCCTCACCCCACCACCGGTGCCCAGAACTGTGACCCAGATCCAAACATGGGCAAAGCAAGAGATTCCTGCCTCAGCACTGGCAAAGAGATCCCTGCAATCCCTCTCTGATCAGCCACTGGATTCCCCCTCAGTCTGTGGGCCAGAAGCTCGGGAAGCAGCTGCCCCCCCAGGATCACGCTCTTGGGGAATGGAGCTGAGACCCCGCCTTCCTGTCTGAGCACCACAGAAACAGACTTTTCCCACTGACCTTCTAAGTTGTCTTTGGCATTCCTGGATTGAGGAGTCTGGAGACCTCCACAGCTGCCCACGATTCAGTCCTCTGAGGCCTGCTCCAGGTTTGCTGAGGCCTGCGCGCCCATGCCGCGCTGTGCTGCACTCCCAGCCCAACACGATATGCCTTTCTGATCAACCATCCAGGTTGTCTTGGGGTGGAAATTTGTTTCACTCTGTCTTTTTGTGGGTTCTGCTGCTTCAGAATTTGTTTAATGCCATTTTTTATGAGTATTTGGAGGGGTTTGGGGGAGAGCTCAAGCAAGCCACTGCTTTCACTCCACCATCTTGGCTCCGCCCCTCGGGTTAGTTTCTAAAGAGATTTTTAGCAGTCTTCATTTTTCTTGGCTTCCTTTTTCTTGGGTAGAGAGTGGAGAAGATTCAGATTCATTACATATGTGAAGTTTCTAAATTTTAAAATATTGATCATTTAGATTGATATGCTAGAAAAATTTGTAATAATCTCTCAGGTGGTGTTGAATGATTTCCCCCACTCCTAAGTGATATTAATAAATCACTTCCCCTCTCTGGGATTCAGTTTCCTCTCTTCCACATGAGGGGATTGGATGAGACAACCCCCAGATCTGCCTGCTTCCTAGGATCTGAGGGCCTTCAGTTCTGCTAATCATAGGACTGTATTTTGTCACAGGATTGAAAATAAGACTACTCTGTGTACTCTGTCCCCCATACCACTTAGCTGTCATTTAAAGAGATTAAGAATCTTAATCTATGAGCCTATGAGGAGTAATTACAATGATTAATAATAGCTACAATATTAATTAGGCAGTGTGGCCCAGTGAAAAACACTGGTCTGGGAGTCAGGAGGTTCAGATGGTAGTCATGGCTCTGTCACTAATTAGCTGTGTTACCTTGGGTAAGTCATAGGATCATGGGATCAGAAATAGAGAGCTAGAAGAAATCTTGAGGCCATCTAGTTCATGCCACACCCCTCTATACCCCCTTTTTGTTGATAAGGAAACTGAGGTACAGAAAAGTTAAGTGACTTGCCCCAGGACACTCAAGCAGTAAGCTACAGAGGTAAGTTTTGAACCCTGGTCTTCTGACTCTAAGCCTTCAGATTGCAGAGCAGTCACTGATTTGCCCTTGTAGATAGTGTTTCCTCAGCAAGAGTTCTCTCCATCACTGGTGTCAAACTCAAGTAGAAATGGGGACCATTAAAACGTGTGCATCTAATTTTATTTATAAACACTTACCAACTACATTTTATTCTGGTTGAGGATGCACTCAGGACTTTTGCAGGCAGCTTGTTTGACACTTCTGTCCCATATTTATGAAATCACAGGTCTAGTCCCTATACACTTTCCCCTGACACTTGTTCGATGTATGACCCTGGGTAAGTCTTAACCTCTATGTGCCTCAGACAACAGCACTTATATATGAAGTCATAATATGATTGCCAGAATCACATATTCTTTGTATGGACTTATGCAGTATACTATGCCAGGCACTGGATAGATACAAAAATCAAAAAATACAAATTGTTACCCTCTAGAAATTGAGAATGTATTAATCATTCCTGTAAGACTCATCTTTTAATAAAAAAAAAAGTGAGGGGAAAGAGGGTAGACTAGAACAGTGGCTCTCAAAGTGTAATCTGAAGTTGCCCAAAGTCCTTTCAGGGGATCCTTGAGATTAAGACTCTTTTCATAATAATACTAAGATGTTAATAACCCACAAAAATACTCTTCCCTTTTCCAATTATATATCTCTGTGGAGCTGGATTTTATCTATCTATATCTATAAATGTATGTATATATGTATATATACACATATATTTCATCCAGAACAACATATTACAACAGAGTGAATGCAGAAGCAGATATAAGAATCCAGCTAAGATTAGACTTTAAAGAGATTTGCAAAAATATGTAAAACAATGCTATTCTTCTCACTAATTTTTTGTTTTGGAAAATAGTCATTTTTCATAAAAAATATGTTATTTATGTTAATATGTAATGGGTTTGTTTTTAACGAATTGATAAACATATTTAAAATTCATCAGTCTTATTTTCTGATATGGCAAATATTGATAAGATAGAATCCACATAAACAGAAGCTCTTCGGGTAGGTCCTCAATAATATTACATTTAAGAAGGTAATGGGAGTTCTGAAACCAAAACTTTTGAGAAGTTTTGAACAAAAGCATCAGAGTCATTGATGTAGGGCTGGAAGGAACCTTAGAGATCATTTAGTTCTTGCATACGTGGAGGGCCATACACAGCCTTCATTTTTGCAGATGAAGAAACTGAGGCCCAGAGAAGTTAAGTGACTTGCCCAGGGTCTCCCAGCTAGCAAATACCTAAGGCAGGATTTAAACTCAGAGCTTTGTGACTCCTATGCTCTACCCATGGTACCACCTAGTTGTCTTAGGTGATCCTTAGGGTCTCTGCCAATGCTAACATTCTGTGATTCTGTTGCTCCGATATCTTCATGTGTGCTTCTTTTTTCTAGTTTGAAGAAGTGCTTTTGGAAACAGCTGAAGAATTTGATAGTTTAATTAAGGGTGAGTTCAAAGCCTTGCTGTTGTGCTCTGCTAGTCCATGAAGATCAGATTAACTACCCTTGCCTTGCCTGAAAAGACATACAGAAAGTCTCTAAGATCCCCTTGGAGCCCTACAAGTATGTTATAAATCACAGCATGGATGGGGAATTACCTAGGACAGTATGCAAGTGTGTTCCTCTGTACCTCAGAGGGAGGGTTTGCGTTTCAAACAACCACATCAGGGAAGAAAGTAAAGCTTTTATCCTCATCAAACAAAGGGGCCTTGCCTTCTCTAGAGGAATAGTGGTGCATGGGAAAAGTGATGGAATTTAAGACTGGAAAGATTAGGTTGGAGTCAGGTCATGGAGGAGGTTGAATGTGAGGAAAGAGCAGGCAGGTGGGAGTTACTGGAGGGTTTTTTGTATGTGGGCAAAGAAGTGTCTGGACAATTGCTGTGTTTCAAGAAGACGAATTATGAAGGTCTGATTTGGAATAGACAGAGACTAGAGGTATGGAGACCAATGAGAAACACTGAAAGAATCTAGGTGGGAGGTGAGGAGACCCTCGCCTAGAGTGTGGTGGTGGGAGCTAAAGGAAGGGGTTAGGGTAGATCAATTAATTGATCAACTAGCATTTATTAAGTACTCACTGTGTACCAGGTACTATCTAAGTCACCGGAGATACAAAGATGAAAAAATGTAGTTCCTTCCCTCAATGAGCTTGTATTCTTTAGGGGAAACATCACACATAGACACCATTATCATCATCATCATTATACCATTCATACACTTCCAAAGTATTTTACAAATATTATCTCCTTTGATCCTCACAGCAACTTTGGGAGGTAGGTGCTGTCATCATCCTTGTTTTATGGATGAGCAGACTGAGGCTGAGAGCTTTAGTGACTTGCCCAGGATTATACAGCTAGCATATGTCTGAGACAAGGCTGGAACTCTAGATCCAGCACTATCCACCAAGCCACCTACCTGCCTATACAAGTAAATATAGAACTTATTCAAATACAAAAGAATTGCAAGAGAAAAGTAACCTTCAGGGGAAGGTGGGTGCTAGCAACTAGGGGGATCAGGAAAGATGAAGAGGAATGGAATTCCAGGGATGGAAGTCAGCTCATACAAAGGTAAGGAGGCAGGAGGTGTAATGTTGTGTGGGCAGAAAAGCAAGTAAGCTAGTTTGTCTGGGAGGCAGGGTGTGTGAAGAGTCATGTGTAATGAGTCTAGAAGGGCAGGCTAGAGCAGACCATGAAGGGCTTTGGATGCAAAAAGAAGAGTTTGTACTCAAGGCTAGAAGCAGGAATCAATTTGTGGGAGAGAAGATTTAAAGGCAAAATCCTTTAAGTCAAGAATCATGGATTACCCAAGCAGACAGTGTGTAGACCAAGTCATAGATAGAGCCCTCATTTGGGGAGATGGAGGAAATTCCCATATAGGGAGTTCCCTAGTCCCACAAGGTCACAGATAAATCCTAAGAGGTCCTTCCTTTATTCATGTACACCACCCAAAGTACCTAGCATACTGAAGTGCACATAGTAGGTTCTCAAAACTACTGTTGTTAATTAATGGCATTCCAGCTGTAGCTTTCAGTCAGTCAAGAAGCATTTATTAAGGACCTACTATGGCTCAGGCACTGCAATAAGCACAGGGGATAGAAAGAAAGAAAGAAAAATCTTTTTTTAAACAATCATCTTTTTTTCTATACTACTTATGTTATTGAAATGTTTGTTTTATTTCAGAAGTTCAGAACAAAATAAATTGAAAAATAAAAATAAGAGTAGATGCAATGGGGAAAAAAGCCCACAGCCCCCGCTCCTGAGGAGCTCACAGTCTGATGGGGCAGAGACAGCAAACCAACAATTATGAGCAAACAAGATGCATCCAGGGTGAACTGCAGATAACGCGCACAGGGAAGGCACCAGCAGTAAGCTAGAGATCAGGAAACGCTTCTTATAGAAGGTGGGATTTTGACTGGGACTTGAAGGAAGCCGGGGAGACAAGAAGTAGAGATGAGGAGGCAGAGCATTCTAGGCATGGACGACACACAGTCAAAATGCCTGTAGTCCAGAGACTGAAGTGTTTTGTTCGAGGGACAACGAAAAGATCCCTGTCTCTCAATACATGGTAGGGAGTAACTCCTCATAACATCTTAAACAACCTTACTTAGCAGCAAGCACAATCCCATCTGCGGGATTGGAGGCAGTGTCTCTAGAATGAAAATAACCCCCCATGGAACAGTGTGGTCTGATTCAGTGGAAAGAGCATTGGTTGTAAAATCAGAGCTCATGGATTCAAATCCTGCTTCTGATACTTAGCCGTGTGACCTTGAGGAAGTCCCTCACCCTTCTTGGGCCTCAGTTTCCCCTACTGTAGAATGGAAGAGTTAAACTAGACAACTGCTGAGGTCCTTTCTGGTTGGAACACTGTGATCCCATGACCATACTCTAATGAGGGGGAGTAAGCCACTGACTTGACTTCTCTTTCTTTTTTTTAGATGGAAAACTAATGTATCAACAACTGCCAATGGTTGAAATTGATGGAATGAAGATGGTACAAACCAGAGCCATCTTAAGATATATTGCCGGAAAATACAACTTGTATGGGAAGGACCTGAAGGAGCAAGTCCTGTACAGTAATCGTTTTTTGCATGTTTACAATGTAAAGTAGAAGCCACCCTTTTTTATTTAGGAAATTTCTACTTGACAGTGGATTCTGACAAATGATTTGCCCAGGGTCACAGCGCCAAGTGCAGGTCAAAGGCAAAACTGGACCATAAATCTTCCTGACTTCAGGGCCAGCTCTTTGTCTGTTCTTTCCCCTGCTTCTCAATGAAATTATGTTAAGAAAGTATCTCCCTTTATGTAATGGACAAAGCTAGGATGTTCTTATCAGCATGTTACGAAAGTAAATATGTAAAAATGTTAACTCCCTTTCCCACATGCCCTAAATCCAAGATACCCTGATGTAAACATATCTCTAGTAGATGGTATTATCCAAGTGGGGGGCAGTCAAAGGAGGAAATTAAATCTCTAACTGCATAGTAGAGTGTTGATACTAGCTTCTGTAGGCTGCTTATCAATTAGTCAATACCTATTAAATGCCGGTATGTGCCAGAAACTGCTAATGCTGAAGATACAAAAAGAGGCAAAAGACAGTCTCAAAAAGCTTACAATCTAACGGAATATTTATGGAACTCAGTGTTAATTTAATCGGCATGTTGGGAATACTTTCCTACTAATATGTTGTAATGGACTGGCCCACTCACAGATACATAGATGACTTGTTCAAAAAAGAAGAAATACTGGCTTTGGATCTCAAAGTAGAATAAGTATAATTTTAAAGTCATTTTAAAAATGATTTGTAAAAGCATGGGTTCAAAAACGATATATAAATTCACTATTAACTCAATGAAAGTGAGGATGTTTTAAAAATTAGCTTCTGTGTTTATTAATTCATCATGGAGAGGCCATGCAACCCATATTGGATGAATCAATCCATCAGCAGGTATTTATGAAGTGCCTACTATGTTCTGGGCTGGGCAGCTATGTGGTACTATGGATAGAGTGCTGGGCCTGGAGTCAAAAAGACTTCTCTTCCTCAGTTCAAATTGGGCCTCAGACACTTATTGGCTGTGTGATTCTGGGCATCTCACTTAATCCTGCTTGCCTCAGTTTCCTCAAAGGTAAAATAAGCTGAAGAAGGAAATGGCAAAACACTCTAATATCTCTGCCAAGAAAACCCCAAATGGGGTCATAAAGAGTCAGACAACAACAACTTTATACTTTTAAAAAAGCACTTCCACACAATATTTTCTTTTGTTTTCCATTTAATAATAATGACCTATGTAAAAAGAGCTTTAAAGGTTTCAAAGCATTTTACATACATTATGTAACTGAAGTCTTTCAATAATAGGATGAGCTAGTGATCATATTTTTATCCATGTCTCTTTCCTTTTCCAGTATTGACATGTATACAGAAGGAATGAAAGAGCTGAGCGACTTATTTATGTTAGTGCCATTTGCTGCACTTGAAGACTGGGAAAAGAGTGTTAAATTCATCACTGAGAAAGCCACTCAAAGATTCCTCCCAGTGTATGAGAAGGTATGGCCCAGTTGAGGCAGTGTGTGATTTACCTGCATATTCCCTGAAATTACAAACACTTTCTCTACTCCAATCTGAGGAAATACATGACAATGCAGAAACATTGGAGGCTCCGTGGTACAAAAGAAAGACCACTGGGTTTGTAGACAGAGTACCTGAGTTCAGATCCTACCTCTGACAGTTATTAATTGTGGAAATGTGGATATATCACTTAGTAACCCTGGACCTCAGTTTCCTAAGCTTTACAAAGTAATGCTACAATATATAGTGGATAGAATGCTGGACTTGGAGTCAGGAAGACCTTAGTTCAAATCCTGCCTCAGACATTTACCAACTGTGTTGGCAAGTCACTTGTCCTGTCTGGGCCTCAGTTTCTTCATGTGTAAAATAAGGGAGTTGGACTTAATGGCTCTTAAGGTCATTTCGGCTCTATTACCTATGAGCCTATGAATTCATAAAGAACTGGAGTTAGATAAGGTAGGTACCACTTAAGACACAACATGCAGGGTGTTGCAAGAGAGATGTTTGTTAATATTCGTTTCTTACACTTAAAAATTGTATATGGCTAGTCCTCGGACTGTCCTCCTGAAGTTCCTATTCTAGACTGGTAAATGGAGCAGGGGCTGGTGGCAATGCTCTGTGAGGATAAAAACAGAAGAGTTTAATGACATTTTTTGCACCTATCTATAAAGTTGGTACAATCCAGCCCTTCTGGGACAGACTTAGTCCTGACTAAATCATTTAATATGCACCCATTAAATACATAGGGAGACCAAGAGCCTCAGCCTAACCACAGGCATTTATTAAAGAGCCAGCTATACACCAGAGACTGTGCTCAGCACTGAGGACACAAAGGCGAAATGAAATAGAGCCTGCCCTCAAGGAGCTTACATTCTATAGGGGGATACGACATTATAGTATCCTCCTCCTGCTAGGTTACAAGTTCATGAATGGCAGAGACTAGGTTGGTTTTAGACATCACCATACACACTGCCTTGCATGGAGGAGGCATTTAAGGAATGTTTATTGGTCTGTTAAACAATGACCAAAACAGAAGTTTGTTGTGCCAATACCCAAATTTCCTCTGTCACAGAGGAAAAGATATCTATCCATGGGTCAGGCAGTTTTGACAGATGGTGAGAGCTAATTCATAGAATCCATCGTAGGAGACTATTTTTAGAAATATGTGGGGGTTTATTCCTTGGTTTAAAAAAAGGTATTGTGTTAACAAAGGATTTTAAAAACAGCACTGTCTCCATAATTTACAACTCCTGAGGACAGATTGTCAACACAACCTGAAGATGTGGTCAACAGATGATCCCATTGGTTGCCTAATATGGGCAAAGGACAATGGGAAAAAAAGGGAATCAGGTTATACTGTAACCTGGGTCTGGGATATGTCATGTGTTTTACTGATTGCCATAGCTAGAAGAGACCTTAGCTTGTCTGTGGGATTTATAAATTTTATTTTTGAAATTTTGTGAGTTTCCTTGAGCTTAAAGATGTTTCTTTTTGGCTGAAATATTTTTCATTTCATCAAAAAGTAGTTATTTTTCTTTCTCTTTTTTTTTTAAATTCTGTTTCCCCCCTCTTTTCTTCAGTGGATGGAAGTGCTCTCCCCCAGTGCAGGATTTGCTGGGTCTTGTTCTCTCTTTTGAGATTCACTTTTATGGCTAACTCAGTGATTCCTGTAGGATTCCAAATGTATCATGCAACATGACTGCCTGTGAGTTGTTGCCTACAGTAGTATTGGCTGTTGTTAGTAAATGTTGCTTGGAGTTCTGTGTTATTGATCACACAGTTGTTGAGTTGCATATGGCCCTGAACTTATTGCTTATGCCTGCTGTATAATTAGTTATTGCTTTCGTGTGTGTATGTGCCTTTTAGGTTTCATCGCTATTCATTTTACTGTATGTTTTTTGTTTGCATTGGCACTAGTGCTTTGCTGAATATACCTTTAAATAGCATTTGAACAAAATAGAGGCCAAGACTTTAGGTAGTTAGTGTGCGGGAAACCGAGGAAAACTCCAAAGGGATTTTTAATTATAGTCATAAAATTTGGCATAAAAATAAGGTCATTGTAAATGTATTGAAGAATATTATAAAGGATTTGGGGTAAGTATGAGGTGATCACTGACATATGAGTAGAGTGATAACACACTATCTATTTTCTGTAATTAAAAGCAATAATTACTCATTCAATAATTCCTGATGTGATCAGAAATTAAGAGATTACTTGGCTATTAACTCCTGAGCCTCTCTCTAAAGAAGTTAGGAAGGAAGAAAAGAAGGAAAAAAGGAAAGGAAGGAAGGAGGAAAGAAGAAAGGAGGGAGGAAGGGGAGAAAGAAGGAAGGAAGGAGGAAGAAAAAAAACCTTTTGTTTTTAAAAAACAATTTATTTTGTAACCTAGTATTTCTCTTCCTCACATGGAGTAATGTGTGCACTCTCACTCTCTCTCCCCGCCCCAACCCCCATAATGGGCGGATGAAATGATTTCACTTGTAAGAGTAAACTTTTTTATTTTTTATTATGAACTTAACAACACTCAACAAACTAGAACTTTTCAATATATGTAAACTTCAATTCAGTAAACATTTATTAAGCAACTGCTATGTGCCAAGCACTGTGCTGAGTGCTGGGGATACAAAAGGAAGCAAAAGGCAGCCCTTGCCCTCAAGGAGCTGACAATGTAATGGGGGAGACAAAATGCAAACAAATATCTCCAAGGCAAGCTATGTGCAGCATAAATAGGAAATAATTAGCAGGGCCTGTAATGTATTCTATGCCTGGACCATTGCAGTAGCTTGCCGGTTGGTCTTTCTGCCTTAAGTCACTCCCCAGCACAGGGCGTCTTCCCCTTAGCTGCCAGATTGAACTTCCTTAAGCTCTGATCTGACCATGTCATCTCCCCCCACCCCAACCCAATTCAGTGAACTCCAGTGGCCCTCTGTTGCCTCCAGTATCACATATAAAGACATCCCTTCATGACCTAGCCCCTTCCTACCTTTCCAGCCTTCTTAAAGCTTACCCCCTCATACTGGCCTCCTTAGAAATCCTGGAACAATTAGGCCCTGTAGGCATTTTTCCTGGCTGTCTCTCTTGCCTAGAACCTTCTCCCTCCTATGTGTGCCTCCTGACTTCTCTGGTTTCCCACCAAGTCTCAGGTAAAGTCTTGCCTTCTGCAAGAGGCCTTTCCTGGTTCTCCTTCCTCCTGAGAGTATCTCCAATTCATCCTGTGTATATCATTTCTGCACAGTAGTCTATGCATTGCTTCCCCTTTAGACTGGGAGCACCTTGAGAGCAGGGACTGTGTTTTGCCTCTCTTTGTATCCTCAGCACTTAGCACAGTGCCTGGTGTATGTATGGTAGGTGCTTAGTAAATGTTTATTGAATGAATTAATAGTATAATGGAAAGAGCAAAAATACTCAAAGAGAACAATTTAGAAGAGGACACAAAGAGGGAAATTATTACTACCTTGTTAGTCAAGAAACATTTGTTAAATGCATACCATATGGTAGGCATTGTGCTAAGCACTGGGGATACAAGAAGAGGCAAAAGAGAGTCTCTGCCCTCAAGGAGTTTCCAATCTAAAGAAGGAGACAACATGCAAACAAATTTATACAAAGCAACCTTTGTACAGGATAGATTTTGTTGTTCAGTTGTATTCCACTCAGTGTTTTCTTGACAAAAATACTAGAGTGGTTTGCCATTTCCTTCTCCACTCATTTGACATATGAAGAAATTGAGGCACATAGGGTAACAAGACTTACCCAAGATCACACAGCTAGTAAGTGTCGGTGGCCACATTTGAACTCAGGTTTTCCTGATTCTAGGCATGGCTTTCTATCCAATGTTCCACCTAGCTGCCCACAGAATAAATAGGAAATAATTAAAAGAGAAAGCACTGGAATTAAGAGGGGTTGGGGAAGGCTTTCTGTAGAAGATGGAATTTTAGTTGGGACTTGAAGGAGGTCAGGGAAGTCAGTTGTCAGAGTAGAGGAGGTCAGGCATGGGGATGGCCAGAAAAAATGCCCTGTCTTCAAGGAACAAATACACCGTCTTCAAGAAATGTGCTGTATGTTCCCACAAGTTCTCTCCCTTCTCTCCTTGTCATTGATCATATAGGCATTAAAAGACCAAGGGAAAAATTACCTTGTGGGCAACCAGCTGAGCTGGGCAGATGTCTTTCTACTTGAAGTCATCTTAATGGTTGAAGAATGCAAGTCTGATGCTCTCTCGGCATTCCCTAAACTGCAGGTAATTCCATCAAAAGCATTCACTATAAATATTGCAAATATCTATTGATGTACATGTCTGCTTCCCCATTAGAATTTAAGTTCCCTGTAGGCAGGGATAGTTTTTGTGTAGCACAGTGCTGAGCACATAGTAAGTGATCAATACATGTTTGTTTAAAAGATCTGGAATTTCCTCTGTGTACACTTCCTCCAAGAACAGAAATCCTTAGATAGTCTTCATGAGTTGCTGTGTCCCAAACCAAACATCTGTAGTCCACTCTTCAGATGATGAGACTCTGATCTTAGCTGGATGTCTTTGCATATGGTAGGCATGAAGACCATTGGTGAGCCCAGAGCTCAAATCCTTTCCAGCAATTAAGGTAGTAAAAATTTATATATTTTGAAAAGAAAAAGCTGTTCTTCATATATTTATTATGTTACCTTATATAATATCACATTATATGATATCACATTATGTTATATTACATTATATTATATTGTTTATGGTATGATATGATATATGATATCTCAAAAGCAGGGGCTTTACACATTTGCCCACAAGGTGAAAATGCTTGCCATGGCTTTTGTACCTCATCAAACAGCTTCCAAAGGGTCTTGGCAAGAGCATCCCTGAGACCCTGCTCCCATGCGTAAAGCTAATTGCTTCATTTACAGGTGATGCAATTTTTTTTTTCCTTCTAGGAGTTCAAAGCTGCAATCAGCAAACTCCCCAGGATTCACAAATTCCTTCAGCCGGGTAGTCCAAGAAGACCACCCATGGATGAAGCAGGTCTAGAAGCTGCAAAGAAGTTATTCAATTTGGAAAAAGGCTTGCTTTTTAAATACTCTACTATTGTATTAGTTGAGCTTTAGTCATGCCCACAAAAATATTAGTTTGTGCTCCTACAGCATTTCTAGGTTCAGTAACTAGCAAATACAATGTCTTGTTATGAATCAGAAAAACCTGATCTTCATTTTGCTTATTATAAAACTTTCTTTGATTAGAACTTCATCTTATTCAGGGTCATAGAATCACAGATTTAAATTTTTTTTTTTTACATATTTAGAGCCAAATAAACCTTAGAGTACACTGAGTCTAGACTCTTCATTTTACCAGTGTGGAAATTGAGAGCAAGAGAGGTTTAGTGACTTACCAGAGGTTACACAGGCAATATGTGGTAGAGTCAGGATTGAAACTTAGGTCCCCTGTTTCAAGATTCAACTGTTTTTCAACTGTTATGCTATCTCCCTTTAATTAATCTAAAGTTTTTAGGTAAGTTTGAACTTTTGGAATAAAACTGAAAATCATGTGAAAACAAGATAATACTGAAGACTTATTTGGTTTTTTTTTTTTTTTTTTTGCTTTGCTGATTGGGGTTAAGTGACTTGCCCAGGGTCACACAGCTAGTAAGTGTTAGGTGTCTGAGGCTGTATTTGAACTCAGGTCCTCCTAACTCCCAAGGCTAGAGCTCTATCCACTGCGCCACCTAGCTGCCCCTTAAAGACTTCCTTACAAAAACAATGAAAACAAAACCCAACCTTACTAAGTGATGCATTAGGTTCCTTTTAGATGCAAACCTTTCACACCTGCTTTGACAGTCTTCAGGCTCCTCAACAAAAGAAGTGACATTCAGTTATCTTCACCGTACAGGATTTAGGCAGGAAAGCAGTCTGACAATATTTTAGAAAGATTTTCATTAAAAAAAAAACACAACAACAGGAAAAAACTGGTTTGTTTAGTTCCCAGTTAATGAGAAACTTCAATTAAACAAAGTACCCTATTCCTTTTTCCTCGTGACACTCTATTTAATCATAGTTTTATTCTACTTTAAAAAACAGAATGATTTGTTTTAATACAACCAAGAAAAAAACTGAAGCTTAACTTTGAAAATTTCCCCTTTTAAAGTAGCCCTTGTCTTGTAAACTCAAAGATGTGTTTTCTGGAGAAAGTCAGTGCTTTTATGTCTCCAAGCAGATATTCTACTGTGTACCATTTTGTCGGACCTCATTGCTAGGTAAGCTAAGAAGAAGTTCATCAACACTTGGAGGCAGAGTCAAAGGAGGCTTAAGGTTTGAGTGCCATGAATTAAAGTTCAATCTTATGAACCCAAAGTAAGTTTGAAAGTGGTAGGGTGGAGTGGTAAGCAGAGTTTTTTAGCCTTATTTCAATCTTCCCAGTCCACTCTACTACTGACTTAATGAAAGGGGAGGGAGGGGGGAAGTGTAGGTTCCCAGTATAAATCCCAACAGGCCTGGGTGACTTAGGGGGGTGTCTACCCCAAGCATGTGAAGACTTCCCCAGGTGGAATGGGCAGATGAGAGTGGTTTGTTCCAATAGTCATGAAGGCAACAGCCCTTAGAGCCTGGTCAGACATCAAAGATGCCAAGGGCACCCTTTGTGTCCTGGGCCATTGCCAGTCGTCCTGACTTTTGTCTCGTGTGGGGTCCAAGATTGTCCAGTCTTCAAGAAAAAACCACTGAGGCAGAGCTCCAAGCCAATAGCACTTTACCAAAGGGTCCACGGCTCCCTCCAATGAAGTGGACCTGAAATTTTCCTCACAATCTGAGATGCCTCCTTTCCCCTGGACCTTACTTTTATTGGGTTTGCAAACATGCACAAGAAGCATGGTAAATTTCACAATCTTATTGGTTGATGGATCTTGATTTTGACTTTCCCCGGAGAGCCAGAAATGATGCATCAGGATGGATGGTCACAAGATGGGCCAGGCAAGGGTCATCTGTGCTGATTAAGGGGTCATAAGACAGTCACCTGCTCATGTTGGACAAGAGAAGGAGGAGATGTAAAAACGAATTGGGGAACTTTCCATATCACTCCACCAACGTTAGAGTTGGACATGGAATTTGAGCAAAACAGGATGGAGATATCTTTGTAATCATTCTTGTGGTTATGTAAGTGAGCTTCATGATTGGTAAGCATGGTGAATGTTGAATTAAAGTTTGAGGCCAACTATACAGAACTTACAGTCATTATGGAATTATATCAAACTGATAAATACTGGTTGGAATAAAATAGGGGTCTAATTGATCATCTATCACACTTGCCACTGGACTTGGATGACTCTGGAAGAGAGAGTGAAATTAAGGACTTGGTGTAACTTTACCTTGTTTAAAGCCAATTCATGAGCAAGTCAAGATATTATTGGTCCTCTTTGAAAACAGAGGATGGACAACCACAGTATTCTCTCTCTGCTCCGGGAAGATGAAACAAAAGGAATCTGTAATTCTCTACCTCCCCTCTTCCCTTGAGCTCTGAGCCCTCAGCAGAGACAGCACTCTGTGACTACCTCCGTTTTAAATCTCTCCCCCTCTCCTGGGATACTCCCTCTCAATTGGCTCTTCTCAAATGGATTCCCAGAAGATACATACAAACCAGCAAATGTCTGGGGTTAACTCTGTTTTTTATAGACAAAATAAATGTTTAAAACAAAGAAAGGCAAACAGATTTTCCCCATACCGAAAGAAAAAGGTGTCAGGCTACCATGATGGAAACTCAGAGGGATAAAGGAAATAAAGAATTATTGGTCTGTCGGGTCACTTGACTAATAAGCATCTCTAAAACAAAAAGGGTACACTAGCTGACTTCTACAGACCATTTGAACTCAAAATCTATGATCTTATGAGATCACAGGTTGAAATAAAAAAAAAAATGGGACAGCTAGGTAGATAGAGCACTGCCCCTGGAGTCAGGAGGACCTGAATTCAAGTCTGGCCTTAGACACTTGATACTAGCTGTGTGTCCCTGGGCAAGTCACTTAACCCTGATTGCCTTGGGGAAAAAAATGAGTGGAATTCTTTTTTTTTTTTAAGTGTTTAGGCAGTTGGGGTTAAGTGATTTGCCCAGGGTCACACAGCTAGTAAGTGTCAAGTGTTTGGTCTGAGGCCAGATTTGAATTCAGGTCCTCCTGACTTCAGGACCAGGGCTCTATCCATTGTGCCACCTAGCTGCCCCAAATTCATTTTTTTAAATAACAAATTATTCTGAATGAAAATTGAAAAAATTAAAATGAAATAAAATGAAAAATAATTTCAAATTTGAAAAAGGTTATTGCAGAAAAAAGTGCATATTCACCCTGGATTTCCCCTGCTACATACATAGTGCCTTACAAATTGGAGGATCTCAAAATAATTTTTATTGCTATGTAATATTGTCCCTCAGTTTTTCTGGACATGTATATAAGCAGAGATTGGAACTAAAAAAAAAAACAAACCAAAATCCTTTTGTGCTTCCGAAAAAAGAAAAATCCAACAACCACAATTGGCAAACTACAAGTTAATGAAACCTTATCCCACTGACCTACAGAAAGAGAAAAATAATGGAATCATAGATTCTTGGGTATTTCAAAAAAGTATTTTCATTTTTCTCTTAAAGTTTCAAATCCCTGAAAATACAGAGGTTCTGAGATTTCTTCAGTGTGGTGATTCACTCCATCAGTGCAGATCTCAATCTATGACAGTGGGGGGGGAAGCCCAGTGGAATTGCTAAAGAGTAGGTGACTTGCCCAGGGTCACACAGCCAGTCTGTGTCAGAGGTGGGATTTAAACATAGGTATTCCTGATTCTGGGCCCAGGGCTCTATCATATGTTCCACCCTGCCTCTAAAGTTTAACATATAACCAGTTTGATTAGCTTCACCTGAGTACAGTTATTTGTTCTGAGAGGGGATTGTAGTGGAGAGGACAAAGAAAGTGGTAAGCGATGGTGATGAAAAAGAAAAATATCAACCATAGATAAAACATTTTTAATGGAAAAAATATTAGTGCCTTGGAATTGGGTAGGATAGGAGCAAGTGTCAAAAGAGTGAATAGGTTTAGCAACATTGTAGGTCAATGCTAAAGGGCTAGTCAGCAGGAGAATTTGGGTTGTGAAGAGCTGCTGCCCATCTAGCTTAGGTTTGTTGGGGGTAAGGAAGTGAAGAGGAAAGGAATGAGCATTAAGTGTCTACTGTGTGCCAGGCACTATGCTTTTAAACACTGACGATACAAAAGGAGGCAAAAGACAGTCCCTGCTCTCAATAAGCTTATAACCAACAAGCACTTTTTAAAATAAATGTATTTATTTTTAGTTGTCGACATTCACTTCCATAGGATTTTGAGTTCCAAATTTCTCCCCATCTCTCCCCTCTCCCACCTGCATGTAAAGTGATATAAGCTCAACATATACATTCATATTAAACCTATTTTCATATTAGTCATGTTGTAAAGAAGAAATAGAACCAATGGAAGAAACCAAGAGAAAGAAGAAACAGAGAGAGAGAGAGAGAGAGAGAGAGAGAGAGAGAGAAAGAGTGAGAGAGAGAGCGCGCAAATAATATGCTTCCATCTGCATTCAGATTTCATAGTTCTTTTTTTTCTGTCATGAGTCTTTTGGAGTTGTCTTGGATCCTTGCATTGCTAAGAAGAGATAAGTCTATCAAAGTTAGTCATCATGCAATGTGGCTGTTATTGTACAATATTCTCCTGGCTCTGCTCACTTCACTCAGCATCAGTCCATACAAGTCTTTCCAGGTTTTTCTGAAGTCTGCCTGCTCATCATTTCTTATAGCACAATAATATTCCATTCCATTTATATATTATAACTTGTTCAGCCATTCCCCAACTGATAGGCATTCTCTCAATTTCTAATTCTTTGCCACAAAAAGAGCTGCTATAAATATTTTTGTACAAATGGGTCCTTTTCCCATCTGTATGATCTCTTTGGGATACAGACCTAGCAGTGGTATTGCTGGGTTAAAGGGTATTTGAGTATAGTTCCAAAATGCTCTCTAGAATGGTTGGAACAGTTCACAACTCTACCAACAATGCAATTCCAATTTTCCCATATCTTCTCCAACATTTATCATTTTCCTGTTTTGTCATGTTGGCCAATCTGATAGGTGTGATGTGATACCTCAGTCATTTTGATTTGCATTTCTCTAATCAATTGTGATTTAGAGCATTTTTTCATATGACTGTAGATAGCTTTAATTTCTTCATCTGAAAACTGCCTGTTCTTATCCTTTGACCATTTATCAATTGGGAAACACCTTGTATTCTAAATTTGGCTCCGTTCTCTTAGAAATGAGGCCTTTATCAGAGACACTGGTCGTAAAAATTCTTTCTCAGTTTTATGCTTCCCTCCCAAAGTATTAGCTTTGTTTTTGCAAAAGCTTTTCAATTTAAATAATCAAAATTATCCATTTTGCATTTCATAATGTTCTCTATCTCTTGTTTGGTCATCAATTCTAACATTCTCCATAAATCTGACAGGCAAACTATTCCTTGATCTCCCAGTTTGTTTATAGTATCAGCCTTAGTATCTAAATCGTT